AGAGAGAGAGAGAGGTTTATATAGAGCCGAGGCTTTAAACAATCAAATTAGAGCCTACATAAAAAATTTCACTAGAAGAGGTTTGTTTGATGCCCAAATATCCTCAAATTGATCATCTTGATATCAAGATGCATGGACATGAGAAAAAAATAGATTTCAAGTTTTGGAAATAAGTGTATTTTGTAACCCATTTTTAGACCGTCAATTTTCAAGATTTCCAAGTTTTTATAGATCTGTCAATCTACACTATTTTTGAAGCTTTAAACTTTATAAATAAGGATGAAAATATATTTTAAGTTTATCACAAAGATTTCCAATATTGAAACCACATTTCTCGACAATATTTGAAGACAGGCTCTAATTTGATTGTTTAGAGCCTAGACTCTATACAAACCACACCCATATATATATATATATATATTGGAAAAAGTTTATATATATATATGTTTATCTACTGAAAAGGTTTGTTTACCTTGGGCGTGCTTGTTAACTAAAGTTTACAAATTGGTCAGAAGTTTCTTTCATTGTTAAAATTTCATACTTTTTTGTACGGTATATGTTCAATTGCTCCTGATTCGCCAAAGTGGGTTAAACAGTGTATGTATAGAGGGCAGCTCAGGAAAACAACATTGGCACAACGGTATGCAATCCAGCCAGGAACCTCCCAATTTTGAGTTCTAGGATATGGAGTTTTCATAAGTAGTGGTGGAGAGACCAGGTTATTTGGTTCCATGGTTTCATTATCCTTAACAACAAATCCCCCCCACCCAAATCCCCTATCCGCTTCTCCCAGGGCTGGACCTCTTGGCACCTATGATATCCTCTGCTCTGGTAATCAAAGCATCATGAACTCCTCAATCACTCAATGTGACCATTTAAAGAATAAAGATAAATATATATTTATACTCAATAATCACCAGTTTCTATCCAACCTTTGTGAGCTCATTGATGTGACTATCTAAAGATAAACCAAGCATGTACTCAATACCTATCAGTTTCTATCCAACCATGCCGCATTGCTGCCTTTGGTATTGTGCTGCACCATGCTTACTAGTAAAGCCATTATTACAGGAGGAACTAGCACTCTGATTGTCCACTATGCTCCTCAGCTGGTTTTGGTTGTGTTCTTTTATTGGAAGCTTGCATCCAACTTTTCCAGTACCTGCCTTTCTTGGGTCACTTCCCAAGAGATTGAACAACCATGGCCACCTAGAAACAGATACTATTGAGCTCAATCATTAATTCTTGTTGGTTGCACATGTCTAAACAGACATATTTGGTACTCTCTTTGAATAGAAATTTCAAGTAGACGAGATGCCGTATATATATTTGTTTCCTCCAGACTGCTAACTCTCAGTCACAAGTGTTTCAAAAAAGAAACCCCTAGTCACAGTCATCTAAAACTGCATGAGCACTTATGCACCAGCTCTTTTAAGGCTCTCATTTACTGGTTCAGGCCTGTGTGTTAATTAGTTGGTTGTAGATTTAGTTGTTTTGAATCTGCATCTATGAGAAAAGGATATCTCACACTTCTAGCCAATGATTCTTCCAACCTTGCTGTGTTCTAGCTGCTCCTTTTTGTTGGTGTATATTTTCTATTTTTAATTTCTATAATTGACTATTCTAGCTGAAGCTTTATATTAATGAAATGTAAAGTTCTCACTTCTAGGTGTTGCTTGTTCCTTGATTGCTGTAAGCTTGCTGCTTTGCAAAATCTGTTTGTCAGTGAGCTGCTTTTTCTTTTGTATTGTGGCCTTCGCTCCGGCATGCATAGTTTTGTCTTCTATATTAAGTATTTGAATTTTGGAATTCACTGATTTGGCTGTTATTTTTACTAATATTTTGTTATTTTGGGCAGTTTGGCATCAGATCTGCTGTTCTAAATGCTGAATTGCCACAAAATTCTCGTGATCATATTCTTAAGGTATGCTTATCAGTAATTGCCCTTTCAGTATTGTCTTCATTGTCAAAACCTTTTCTATACTATTGTAATTTCTAGTTTCTCCTGAGTTTTCCATGAAAAAGTTGGTCTTTTGACCTTTTTTTTTTTTTTTACGACACCTATTCAGCTATCCTTTCTTATAAAAAAAAAACTATTCAGCTATCCTAGGACTTATGGGTATTAAGCCTGTAAAGTGAATCCTATATGGCTATATCCATACTAAAACCCACGTCATAATTGTTTCACAAGCCATAAAGCAAAGTAGAAAATATAGCTTTCAAAAGTTTACATGCATCACATTAATTCAAAAGTTGTGTTTAAAGCTTGAGGCCTCAAACTCAACATTCATCTTCGAAGTTTAACCCCTGAACTTGCAACTCATTTATATTTTCATCTCTAAATCGGTAAATCCTACTTCTCATCTCCTTCATTCCATTATGACCATCCCCAACATCTACACCAGTGAGATGCCATATTTACCACTTGTCAGAAAGGTGTTATATTGTTAGGTAATCAAATAATAATGTATCACTATGAGCCTAGAGTCTAAACTTTAAACACTAAAGAACAGAAACGAGGCTTTAATAGTTTCCTCCATGTGGTGGTTTCACTTCCATCCGATCATCTAATACATCTTTATTGCTTTAAAGGATCACTGTTGTTGCTTGATAGCCCATTCTTTCTCAAGATCAATCTTTGTTTCTGAGTCTATGGGTCCATGCATATGGGTTGTTGCATGGTCCTTCATTTTACACATTTCACTAGCTTAGAACTTTAATAGCTAGACAAGTATTCCATGGTTGATATGAATATAGTGAAACACATTATAAATTAAGCTAATTAACAATCCTTTTGTAATAATTTGTTAAATTTGTTGTTTGCCTCTGCAAATATCTCACCAAACAAAGTCACTAACCGTGAAACTACCACCCAATCACCATTCAAACCACCACCATAGTCACCATCAAAACCACAGCCCAAACCACCTGCAAAATCGACACCAAAACCACCACCTGAACTCCACTTGTACCACCATCGAAACCACACCTAATATACATTCAAACCATTGAAAATACTTCAAATGAAGTGCCAAACCACATTTATGTGAAACATCGTACACCACAAAAATCGCTAACCCATTATAAGGTAAATTGCACAATTAAAGTGTCAAAGAGTTATTTAACATAAACTACCTTGTTTTCCAAAAATGTTGAAGTATCTCCCTTACATTTTTTGCACCAAAAGGCCAACAATCTAAAGTAAAACCCCTTTTTGGAACTGGTGCGACTTTTGTTCTAATGCCATAAATTCTTGTGACAGCTTGGAAATATGTTTCTGCTGAAGTTCCAAAAATAGTGTACATATGGCAGATTTGTGAACACTTGAAATGAACATTCCCAAGATAGACCATTTATAGGGCTTGAATTTATTTTTTTCAATATGTGATTGTCGAGGTTGATTTAAACATATTATTTCATGAGTTCTGGGGCATTTCCAAACATATTGTATCATATGTATCTAGGTAGATGGTCATTCATAAGCTGGATATGAAATGGTACTGTCAATCACTATGTGATGTGTCTCACAGTTTTATAAAGTCCCTCTTCTTGTCTATTGGTAAGTACGGTTTACAATGAAAAGTTGTGTGATAATTCTTGGACAAGATTTCTTCTGAGTTGGATATTTTGACATGACTCGGGTGTATTAGTCTATGACTTTGGGGCAGATCTGTGAGACTGTACACCAATGATACGAAGTCTAGCTTGAAGCTCAATCCTTCATCTGACACTCCTAGTGGGTTGGTTGAATATCTGAAGCACATTCATTCTTCTATTGAATCTACTGTACACAATGCGCCAGGTATATCACTAGTTCTGGTTTCTTCATGTTTTCTTTTCTGAGTGGAGCTCACATAGGGAGGTGGTGCATGTAGAAATTCAAAACACGTTCGACCTCTAGAATACTTGACACGACTGTGGCATATTAGCATATGACTTAGAGGCAGAGCTGTGACAGTATACATCAATCACATGAAATCTAGCTTGAAGTCCTGTCACACATCTGATTCGCATAGTTGTCTGGTTGAATCTCCAAAAAACACACCCATTCTTCTATTGAATCTACTGTACACAATGCACTAGGCTTATGAAGTGCAGGTTTGTTCGTGTTTTCTTTTCGAATGGAGCTCAAATAGGAAGGTTGTGCCTCTAGTAATTCAAAACAGGTTAAACTCGTTGCATAGTCTAGCATCAGATGGGAATTTTCAATGTGTGTAGCTAGGTAGATAGTTCCAACCACAATTCAAACAACTGGATGCAACTTCTAGTTGTGAGTTCTACTAGTCACCCTAAATTTATGTGTCACAGTCATGATCATGCGAGAAAGGCAAGCTGTGTATTCATCATTTCGTCTCTCTCACCAGGTTAATTGAAATGCATCTAGGGTGCACACCTATTAATGTTATTTCTTTGAAGAAGCACCAAACAACACTTCGTAGAGGGTCATGGCTGTAGTGCCTACAGCCAAATTGAATCTAATGAGTATGTTCAAGCATCACTCTGAACAATTTCACTGAGCCCAAGTCATGATTTATCTTTCTCTCCCATTATTTTTATCTATAATTCCATATTCACTTCTCAGTTTGTTCTTTTTATTTTTGTCAAAGTCCTTGCAATTCTATTCTGGTTGGGCACTCTCTGTTTGTTTGGTCCTCTTATAAGTTTATTCTGATAAGAACTAAGAATTTTCTTTGCTGGTCCATTTACTCGGTTTGCTAGTCTCCCATACTGAGATCTATTTGAGATGTCAATTGATAGGCATTGCCATTATTCAAACTGAGCGTCCCATGCTGAGATCTATTTGAGATGTCAATTGATGGGCGTTGCCACTATTCAAAGAGGAACCTACTTTCATACTAGATATCTGGACAGCCAAAAGGAAATCACTTCCAAAGAATGGTGATCACTGCACTTGTCCTAGAATGATGGCAGCAAATTGCCAGTTCAATTTCCACCACACAGTGTGTGCACTAAAATGATCATTTCAGAAATTGTTAACATATTTTGGGGCACAGTAGAAAGAATATTAGTTAAAAGCTCATCTGAGTGCTGGGATGTACGGGAATCATGTGGACTTACTATATAAGCATATGGTTTTGCCTCTGATATCACTATGCTATATATCAATATTTACTTGCTCTATTTTTTTATGAACTTTTGATAATATCTATCACATGGGAATCACTTGTGATTGTCGAGGTTGATTTCAAACATATTGCCCATTTCCAAGATAAGACCATTTCTAGGGCATTTATTTTTTTTCTAGGAGAGAAGATGTTGTATTTTCTTACAACATTCACCTTTTGCACCTTTTTTTTGATTGTTTCTGCCTCTCAACTCCCAAGTAAGCATTTATTTTTCATCAGCAAAAGGTGCAAAAGGTGAATGTAATGTCCTAAAACTACTTGGTAAAAAGCCTAGAAAGGTTACGGTTGTGACCTAGAGAGGGGAAAGAAAAATTGTAAAAGTCCTCTATTTGTCTAAAGATTAGGTTTTTAACCCCAAACCCATCCAAAATTTTTAATTGACCAAACTGCCCTTGATACCCTGCTTTAATAGAAAAACTTTGACCCAAAATTCGGCCAAAATTGTCAAAAAAAAAGGGTTCTGTTTCCCCCTTTTCTTTACTATATATTGGACTGGCCTGTGTGGTCAAACCAGCTAGTTGGTGAACCAGAGATTATCCCATTCAGTGGACATGACGGTGTGGAATCACTAGTTCGATCAGTTTGCCCACTGGTTCCTGCTTCTGGCCTGTGTGGTCAAACCAGCTAGTTGATGAACCAGAGATTATCCCATTCAGTGGACATGATGGTGTGGAATCGCTAGTTCGATCAGTTTGCCCACTGATTCCTGCTTCTACCAGCTGGTCTTCTCTTAACTGGTTGCATGGGTGGTGGTGTATTTGGAGCTCCAAATAAAAATTTGTTGATGGAGACAATATGGAAATTTAGAGACTGATTTTGAGCATTTTTGGGTCCCTCAGCCAACCCCATGTTGCAGGGATTCTTCACCTTAGACTTCGGACCTGTGTTGGACGCAATTGGACATGGGTACGGGTAAAACTATGACATGGACGGAGCTGGATTCTCCATTTCAAACAATTCTGAAGGGAGGATCTTAAGACATGGATTCCGATACATCAGGCTTCTTCTCAAGATGTTACAGATTCTTCTCCCAAATGAATCCAGTAATATATAGCATTATGTTTTTCTTTATTTAAACACTAGACATGGAGAAGGGGTTGCGCAAATCAGACCTTTAGTTCATAGTTATAGAGAGAGATAGCAATGGCAGTAGACATCTGAAAGTTGCAATTACACATAGTATACAGTGGCAGCAATCACATATATACTATTATTTCACTATTGACAAATGGTTGTCTTGATATTGTGTACATCAATTAGACTTAAGGTCTTTATGATTGTCAAAATATCAATACAATCTGATGAGCATTGAGAACCAGCTTGTCTAAGTTCCCTATTTTCTGTGACTGGCAAAAAGTAGCAGGAGAGAAACCACTCCATTGGACTTTCCCGGGATCCTTCTAAGGTCTGAAGCCTGTGCAAAGGGAGGCTCAAAGTAGAGCCTTTCTGAACTAAAGGTTAATACTCTGTCTTTATCCGATGGTGAGCCGTATATGGCGAACAAAAGTTTCCTGAGCAGATCCCAAAATACAACCTCATTGGCCTAAGTCCTTAAGCTCATGAAGTGTGAGTTCAGCGGATTATTGTATAATTTCTAATGTGATTCTTTGTCGTTCCCTGTTATTCCTGGAGTATAGTTAGTTCTGGACGAGCCACCTTTGTTAGAGTTCCTTTCTACTTTTGAGGACAAAAGTACGGTGCATGCAAGCACTTAAGTAGGGAATCAATCCTTCTTTTGGTTGAGAGCAAAGTGGGTGTCCGAAGTAATCAGGTGATG